ATGCAAAAGGCTTGGAAAGAGAAGGGAAACCATAAGAAATATCTTTACACATAAGCTCATTTCTGCCATCATCAAACAACAGAACTTTTTAAGATCTATCACAGAACACTTGGAAATGTGTAAGGGTTATTTGGGGTTTGTTGCACTGAATACATTCTGAAGCCCAGAGAGGAGGGCAAAAAGTGCTTTCTACCTCTGATGCTTTCCAGCTTCATGAACCTAAGATACAAGGCAAGGAAAGAGTTGTTCCAACACTCTGTATCTCCAGCAAGCTGCTCAAGGACAGAAAGCAGATGACCAGAGAAGAAAATATGTAAAGCTTTCCTCCTCAGAGTGCATTTTTAGTTTTTGCCTCTAATATAGCCCCTAATTCTGTCTCTAATGTTGCTAATGGCTTTTCTTAACATAAACCAGTGTGAAATCAGCCCTCTTGTGACATTATCACTACCTAGAGCACTCTTTGTAGAAGTCATGGACCTGAGGAGCATTTATTCATATGTTGCTTGCAAAAGACAAAAGCAGTTGCAGCAGACATAAGGATCCTTCATCAGATCCAGGGAAATAATCTAAAATAAACTAAGGCAAAGACATACTCTCAAGGGCTTCATGTCCCTACATGAATATTTAGTCTTTAAGCAAAGTGGCAATAAAGGTCCTGAAACTGCCCCCATAAGCTTACAGAAGAACTTTTAAGACTTTTCTATGTTCTGGAATAATAATGAACTGACAAAAAAAACCCCTAAAGATGTTAGCAGAGCTCTGACTTCTGTTATTCTGTTAATAAAATCATTCAGTGTAATAACACAAAATGCAAGACTGAGTTTGTGCTAATATTTATTTCATACCATCTGTCACTAGAGTCTAAGTAGAGTCTAATGATGTAGTCAAAAAATAGTTTGATTTGGAGACTAAATGACCAATCAACATTTATAATACTCCATCTGCAAGAGAACACAGAAAAGAAGAAACACCTAACAGTCATGCCCAGCCCATCACTTTGTAAGGTAAGATTCAAAAAAATGTCAAAAGTAGGTTGTTCTGAGTTTGTATATTAACAGCGTGGTAGCAGGTTAATCATTACATATTTCATGATCAATAGTTTTTTTCCAGTTTTGAAGAGGACCAACTGCACGAATCTCTCAGGCAATTTCACAGGCCTAAGATGGTCTAAACATGGTAAATCAGTTCAACAAATACAATTTGTTTTCCTGCCTGTATGCCCAATACTGAGGAAGAAGTTCTAGCTCAGTCATTTCTAGGTGCCTATATTTCCACTAAAAAGGAGATCCAGGACCTTCTACCTAGTTAAGTTAAAGCTGCCACAGCTTATGGAGTTTCTAGCAATTTAAACAGGGTGTAAAGAAACTGGTTTTTTGAGAATGACTGGTGACCATTGATTTGTAAGCATAGATATTCAATTTTCAGTGTATGCTTTTATTCCTATGGTTAAGTGGTAACATAGCAGTACCTCCTGCAACTAATGCCAAGTAAACACAAACACAGAAGCTTCACACAAGCACTCATTTAGCCTGCTTATTAAAAGATCCTTTCCTCTAAGAAGTCACCAGTTGTGCAAGCCTGTTGGAAGAAACTGCACACAGACTTCAGTTTGTGGCACGGGGCTTGCTTTCTTACACAACATATGTCCCAAGCTTTAATGTCTGTAGTATTCTGAGTTCACAAACAATTTTGAATAATCCTCTGGGTGAGAGAAGAACACACAAAGAGATGGCAATAAAAAGGCAGAAATATTTATATTTGAAAGACTGAGCTGTCATCTTTGTGAAAGAACCAAAGGCTCTCTGATCAACCGCCCACACTCAGTGATTACTACAGAAAAGCCAGGAAATAGGAAAAGGGACTCACACACTGCACATTGAAAAACTGACTTTGCCACAAGAAAGCCATCATGGTCCTCTGGGTGCCAAGAAAAACATCCTTGACATTTTAGCCTGCAAAACGCATACAGAAAAGTAGAACTATTAAGGGGAAAGTGGAATGCAGAAAGACACAGTCAGTCAATGGGCTCACCACTAGCTTCCCAGAGTAGTATTCTGCTGTACCTCAAACCCTACAATTTTTATTTGAACAGAGCATTTCTCAAGCTTGCACAGAAAGCTTCTAAATCCACAGAGGGTGAGATTAAGGTCCCCAGCTGATCAAGTCACAAGGTCAGCAGGGAGTGTGAATTTCCACCTCAAAAACGAAGAAAAGCAAGAGACACCCAACACCTGCACAAACCTCAAATAAAAAGAACAGTTGAAATACCTTGGAATCTTCAGACAGTGCTGAAGATCTGTTGCTCTGGGGACTTTTACCCAGTGAACTATAGCAAAGGATTACTGCAGAAGAAGGAAAAGAAAGCACAGGCTCCTTACAGCGAGACAGCACCTGCACAGCAGCCCACTATGTCCCTACCTACAGTAACCAAGACTTGAGGACAACCAAGCTACAATCAACTTGCATACTGAAAACACCCACACCCTTGCTGTTTGAAAATTAGAGAGAAGTGCCCCCAACCTCCAAATCATGGCTTGTCAATAATTTGTCAAAATGAATTATTTTAATAATAGTTAATAATTTCTTATAGACATGATGATCTCACCCTTTCCTAGTATTCCAAAATGAGACATTTTTTTCCTGGAACATAAGTACATTTGGACTGCTCCACATCTGTCCAATAGCTTTTTGCTCCTGTAAGCATCACTCACTTTTCTCCATTAAAAATTTGTTTTATCCCATTAGCTACTTCGTAATTCGGGGCATAATATTCCCTTTCTTCCATATCACATGGGCTGCAGAAGAAAGGCATGGAACACAGTGACAGTGTCCAGGCAATTTCCACAGGAGCTTTACCTGATAATGCCAATATTAAATAATAGTACTGATATTGGAATGTGCTGCTCAGGGAGGTGGTGGAATCAATGCCTCTGGAGGTGTTTAAAGAAAGACAGGACACGGCACTTAGTGCCACAGTCTACTTGACACGACAGTGTTTGGTCACAGGTTGGACTCAATGATCTCAGCGATCTTTTACAACCTAATTGAGTCTATGATTCTGCAAAATATTTATTTTATTTGGGAGTTTAAAGTAAAAATAGAATCCTTTAATTTCTTATTGCATACACAGCCTTTAGGGAAAAAAAGATCCAAAAAAAAACCCCCAAAAAATCCTCTACCAAAACAAAAAACCCAACCAAACAAGATTGAATATTATCAATGGTACCTCGAGAATCTGACAGGCTCTAGAATGAAAAACTGAGCAACTGAGCCTGGCATTCTCTCATTCCTTGCCCTTCCTTTGTTGCCTGCTGTCACCTGTGCAGCGCGAGTTGCCGCGCTTCATCCACATCTGCGGCTGCCGGGCGCTGCCAGGGAAGGCAGGGAACGCGTTATCCGGCCGAGCTGCCAGGTAGCCTCGGCGGGCCCGGCACCGACAGACCAACTCCCGAGGCTGCAGGGAGCAGCCGAAATTCCCGACACGGAGGCGGGGCGCGTGTGTTATGTACGTGTGTGTCTGTGTGCTATGTGTGTGTACACTGCCATGCCGCGCTCGGCACCCGCGCCCCGCTCGCCCGTGCCGCCTCACTGCCTTCCCCGCACACTGCCGGCCCTGCCTCCCGCGGGAACCTCCCGCCGGCGGCGGGCCCCTCACGCCGGGCGGCGGGGCAGCGGCCAGGCTCGGCGGGCCAGGCGGTGACAGCGGCGGCCATGGCCCCCGCCGCGGCGCTGCCGGGCTGACAGCGCGGCCGGACGGAGCAGGGCGGGAGACGCGGTGCCCGCTGCCCGGGGGGACACGGCGGCAGCGCTGACACCGCCGAGGCGGGCACCGGGTGGGCGCTCCCCGGGCTCAGGGACAAGGGGGCGGCACCCCGCGGGCACCGGGTGGGGCCGGGGGTCCCCGCCGCGCGCCGGGAAGGTGCGCTCCGGTCCTTACCTTCTCTCGGGAGCACGGCAGCGGGACGCGTCCTCCTCCTCCTCCTGCTGCTGTCTCTGTGGACGGCGCGGCCGCGGGGAATCGGGCAGGGCAGCGAGTGCCGCCCGCAGTGCTCAGGGGCTGAGACTCAGCCGCGGCTCCAGGCACCAGGGATTGCGAACACCCTACCCGCCCTTCTTTCCTTCTTTCTTTCTTCTTTCCTTCCTTTCTTCCCTTCCTTCCTTCTCTCCCTCTCTCTCCCTTCTTCCCTCTCTCCCTCTCTCCCTCCCTCCTTTCCTCACACCCCGCGCCGCCGCTCGGCTCCCCCCCGCCCCCCTCCCAGCGGCGCTCCCATTGGCCGCGCGCCGCCCACGTGGGCCTCGCGCAGGGCACGGGACGCGGTCGAGCGGTGCCGCTGCCAACGACAGAGCGCTCGGGGCGGGGTGGGCAGCGCAGCGCCTCTCGCCATTCCCAGTGCCGGCCCCATCCCGAAGGAGACGGGCGCCCGCAGGGCGACGGGAAATAACGGGCTCGCGGGGTGCCACTCACGGACAGGGCTGGGACGAGGACTAGGGCGCGAGCACTGCGCATGCGCGACGGGGGGGTTGCCGGGGGCAGCCGCGCATCCTCTTGGGCTGCGGTCGCTGGAACCTTCTGGAAATGGCGGCGGCGGCGGCCCTGGCTGGTCACGGGACGAGGTGGCGGACGAGAGCTTTTCCGGTCCCTGCCGCGGGACGGGAGCCGACCTACAGCCACCAGCGCGCCCCGCTTCGCCTCGCCCAGCGCTGCCGCTGCCGCCCCCTCCCCGGGGAGGGGTTTTTCCGGCGGTGATGGCGCAGTGAGTTTTAACTACCCGGCGCTGTGCGCGTGCGCGGCGGGCTCTGCCCATCCCGTTCCCTCCTACCTTCTATCCCACCGCCGGGCTGGTGGGTGCGGAGGGGCTGCGGCTAAAGGCCCCGCAGTTTTTGGGAGAAGCCCCCGGACGCAGGTGCGTGTGGTGCAGTGCCGGAAAGCCCGGGGTGGCCGTTCGCTTTCGCGAAAGGCTGCGGGATGCTGATCCCGCCGCGCCTGGGGTCAGGTCAGTGCTGCGTCCCCCCACCCCCCACTTAGGCACAATTCCCATCCGCCCGCCGCCGCAGGACAGGGCAATTTCTGGGTTTCCAAACTAGTTTTTTGGAGGTGCTCTGCTTGTACAAATGAGTCAGACGTCATATAAAGACATCTGAGGGGTTACGGAGTTGACTGACGATGTAGCCCTAGTAGCAGCTTTGGAAGGGGGGTCATTTATCTGCACTCGTGAGAGGTTTTGCATCTGCTTGTAACAATAGTCGTATGTGGCAGGATTTAAGGAACACGTGTGGTGCTGTACTCGTGGATTCTCGAGTAATGTTCTCCAGATCGCTTCTGGGAGATGCTGAAGGGCCGCCAGGTGTAGTATTTTGACATGGTAGCTAAACAAAGTCCTTTAGCATAGTTTTAATTGCTGTGGTCATTCTGCTACTGGATTGCTTTAATCTGTTACTGGGTAGAAATTCCTTAATATTTCCTATTTATCAGAAAAGTGGGGGTTTTTCTGTATCAAAATATAACTTTGATTGAAGACGCCTATTATGTGGACTTGCTGTACATTCTGATCCCCCCCCCCACAATGATGTACCAGCATGGATAGAGCATGGCATCAAAAATCTCTCATGTTCCCATGCTCAACGGCTTACTGTTCAGACAAACTTCTCTCATTTGCTTTCACAATCGTCCTGTACAAATGCTGGTACAGATGATTTGTGTTGTTAAGCAACTGCCTTCACTTTCATTTGATTCTGTTAGTGTACAGTGGGCATTGTCCAGTGGCCAGGAACAGCTCTGTCAGTGTGAGTGACTATACCACAAAGGGAGTTGCCTTCAAATTCTTTTGTGTTCGATTCATGACAGAGGCTATTGACAGAGGCTATCTCTAGAAGTGGAAAACTCATTGAATAACAGACAGCCTATGGAATGTCAGCCTAAGTAGAGTAAGAGCAGTTTGCAAAAGCAGAATAATTTTTCTTTTCATGGTATTATACATGGATCCACACGGTAAAACATGACAGGCTACAGGTGTGGCCTGCATTGTGATACTGCATTTTGATCCTTGTGCATGAGTAGTGTGGAGTTCAGGAATTTGGTGTGTGTTAGGTGTTCATAACCAGACACTGAGGTAATGGGGAAGGGGGTCTCATGAGCAACATCTGCTGCAGCAGATGTTAAGATATGATAATAATATCTGTCAGTAACTGGAAAAAATACTGTTCTTTAAGCCTTTTGTAAGAACTACTGTTTGGTCTAACGAAAAGCATCAGTCAGTTGACTGCTAGTTGCTACCCCTACATTCATTTCTTGCCCTTGTTTCCAGCAGTCCCTCCCTTTTACGTCTAGCACAGCTGCAAGATGCTTTTGTAGCTGCATGGTGTTGGTGTGCTTAGGACTTCCTTTGATCTGCCTTCCCATCCTGTGTCACCAGCCCTGTGAACTACCGGTCTTCAGACCACACAGGTCCAGCATCTGCTTGAACTGTTTCATTGCTGAATTCAGTCTAGTAACTGAAGGACTGAACATTTCAGACTGCAGCACAAAAACCTGACGTAAGAACTTGCAGGATGCCACACAGGTCAAAGCCTGTGTGCCAGCCTCTAAGAGTTAACTGGCCGGTCAGCCCATGGGGCCAGCAAACATCCTGCACAGGTAGGATGGGATTGCACTGCTTCTCCCTATTTAATGACAGAACACTGTTCTAGATAACATTTTTTTAGCAGTGTGTGGTGGTAATGGAAATCCTTTCTGTTATCCAAAATCACACACTTCATTGGGTATCTAGAATTTCTTATTACTCCACACTACCTTCAACAAAGGAAAGAATCGTCACCTCCTACTCTTGAAGTCCAGTGGATTCTTTTGGTGTCTTGTGCTTCTATATCCTAAATCACATTTCCTTTCTCAAGGCTACCTATTTTAAAATCTTCTCAAGGTAGTCTTTGTATTTTTTTTCCTTCCCCAGTTTCTTCTTTATATTCCACTTTCCTAGAAAGTGGAATATAAATTATTGATATTATAATTAATACAGTATGTGAGTTCTTTAATTTTTGCCTCATTCAAGGAGAGGCAAACAAGACCACTGCAAACACATAATCAGTTCTGTTGGTGCTACAGTAACAGTTTCAGGAATGTGTGGACTGGTGCAGTAGTTGACTCATTTTTTGCTTAACTCACCACCCAGTATTCTTACAATCCAGGATATTAACCGCTTGATTGAAACTGTAGAATTGCAAGTGTTATTTGACAGGTTAGTGCTACTGCCTAGAATTAATATTAGTGACCCTCTGCTATTGAGGATAATGAAAATTCTCTTCTGTTAATATTTGTTACATTTTCCCTACTACAAATGTATATAGTAAAATACACATTTTTAACACTAGTAAAAGCAAACACAAGGTATTATCTACAGCTATTCAAAAACAGAACAGAGAATTGGGATACATCAATTCTTGCACAATTCTGGAACTCTTTCATAATGATCACCTTGCTAATTCTCATCACAATCCTGCTTAAGTTACCATTGTGAAAATAATTTATTGTATATAGTAAGCAGTACCTGTAATGAATAATGTAGAATATGTATTTCTACTTGAGATGTTTGAGATGTTCACATTTCAACAAAACCTGAAATAATGAAAGATGTGATTTTTCTTTTAACCATTTAATACAATGATTGCCGAAACTTTTTTGAGGAGAAATCAGGACCATAAAGCCTCATATAATTGATGGAGTGGGTAAAGACGAGAGAGAATAGTTACTTTATTTGTCTACAATAATTTCACAGTCCTGTAGCTGCCTCCAGTACTCAATTTAAAGAGTGATGGATCAGATTTGTGCCGTGCAGTAGGGATAATGTAAATTATATTATTCTAGTCAAGTGATTGGCAGATTCTCACATGTTACATCAAAATGACTGACAGCTTGTTTGTGGAACATCACTAGCAATTTCCAAAATATGGGAACTGTGGGAGGTCCATGTTCTGCTCATGAGACAGACATCAAAATTGTCATGTGCAGATGGAATAAAATGGGGAGAAAAGTGCTGTAAGGCTACAAATGCTGTCTGGCTTTAAAAATGGGCGGAGTCTGGCATTCAAGAGCTTTGTTTGTGTATAGTTGGATGTTTCAACCTTGGCAGGTCCAAAATTACGTTTCCCTTCAACATGATTGCACAATCCCTTGGGATTGCACTGTTACATACCAAACCATGAATAACTAGCACAGTATAGTTCCACAATGCATGCAACATCCTCGCTTGTATTCAACATATACTTCAAAGGTTAGAATAAGGTAAGGCTGTATGAACTAGAATACAGTTTTGCTGTTAAAATGGAACAAACAGTGTAGTCAGACTGCGATACTAAACTGAGTCTGTCTTTGCATCAAGATATGAGATGCCGTCTGCCTCATCTCATGTCGCTAGAGAAGTGCCACATAGTGCCAGATGCCTGGCCTGCTACAAGGCCTGAGGCTATTACAAACATGGAGTGACCTTTCAGAAGAGCATTCAGAGACTTTATATGACGGATAAGATTTCAATCCATGTACTATTTTCTTCTGTGCATTATGTTCTGGACTGCTTCTCACAAAATTTTTTTTCATGCTTGTTTGGAAACTGCTTCACTCATGAGTTGTATGTATGTATTGGATTTTCTTTTCCATTTGAATGCAATTCAATTATTTCATTTTATAAATATAGTAAAATGGAAGATAGCAAGTTTCTCATACAAATTATATAATACATAATACAGATATATTATGTTCCCAGAACTACCAACAGTAATACTGCTTCTTCAATGGCGTGTGAAGGAACTTCACAGAGTGTGTTGAAATAAAGGTGGTGCATCAACAGACTACACAAGATAGCCATTATGCAGGTAATCTGTAAAAACAGAATTTAACTCCAAAGAGGGAGAATAGTTTGGTTAATTAGACTATCAAAACAAACTAAATATAATATAGAATAAAATTATAAGGTTAAGGTTCATCTATCTCATCAACTGTAATGCAAATATAAGTTCCGTGACAGATTTGAGATGAGGCAGGTGCAGTATGGTCTCAGGTGACTGATATGTCCACATTCCCTAATTTACATGGAAATGTATGTCTGTATAGCTAAAGCATTTGCCCAGTTTTATAAGCATAGGTATGAAGTGTCAGTATGCACTCAGTTTTTTAAAAACTTATCTTCAGATTTTTTATATTGAAAGAAATTCCTCAATTTCATGTAGATTAGTTCTTGAAGGTAGCTGGTGCACAGTAATAAGGTCAAAGAAGTATCTCTGAATCAAGGATCCAGTGTCAGATAGTGTTACTCTTAAGCACATGGTGAACTGTTTTGGTATATTCTGCCTTCCCCCATCTCCATACCTTGTCTGTACTAAATAAACTTGCACAGGAAGTTAGTTGGTTTTTGTTGCTTTTAATTGTTTTAGTAGAATACTGCTGCTCTTTGGGGCTTTACATTTTTCCTGATTACAGAATGATACTAAGAAGAATTAAACTTAAGAAGAACCACTTCTAACTGAACCTACAAGATTTTTTACACAACATGGCTCAGATAACCTTTCTTGTTTGTGTGTGTTTGATTATAAATTGCCAATAAAAGTAACATGATGAAGCTTTGTCAGATAATCCCCTTTCAATTTTGTTCTTTGTGCATTTGCCAGATTTGTAATTTAGGTTTGTTGCTGCTTCAAAGAGCTTTAGAAAAAGCTGAAACAATTTTCAATGACAAATCAAAAGATGTAAGTTTTAATCTCTCATTGACACTCTTCAGTGAGAAAGTGGATACTTTCAGGGTACTTTACACAGTCTACAGAACCACTTTTCTTACAGTCTGGAATTATGAATAAACTTCTGTAGTTAAAACCACAGTAAGTTAAGCAGTCTAATTGCTGTTATTTTTCTTTTAAACCAAAACATTAGAATGTATATCATTTTACTGAGATTTAAGATACTTTATTATTTTCAGACAGTTCATCTTATATTACAAAAATCCTTAGAGATCATCTCGAACTCCAAAACCTGGTCCTTTGGGTGGTTCAGTCAGGGAAGTAAGGCCACCAGCTGGCTCACAAGAAAAACGTCCACTCCTGAAAAATGAAAGCAGTTTATTAATTTCTGGTATTGATAATAACTCATATTCTGTTTAATCACTGGATAGAGGAGAGTCACAAATCCCTTAAGGCTGAAGCCACTATTTTTTGTTTTGTTCTTCCCATTCAGCCTTCAGAAAAAAATGTGATGTAGTTGTTAAAGTGAAAGGATTCTAAATTCAAGTACTGACAAAAAAATTCATAACTGAAATGCAAGCTAAGACCACTTGTTTTCTTTTATACTCATTTATAGATTGGCCAGGCAGCATCAAATTTTATAATCACAGTTTTGTTATGGGTGCTTCCCTGTTTTTTTTTGAAACTGTAACTGTTTCAAGGTTATTGTTCTTGTATTCAAAACATCTTTATAGAAACAATAGGAATAGGTAACACCCAAGTCAAATTAATTTCCCCACTGACACGAACCTAGGTGGGCTAACAAAGAACAGTGGGAAATAACAGATAAGAAAACTTCAGCAGTGACAACCCTCTCACTAACTTACAGTCTTTGTTTTTTATCAGAAATCAGAAAAAACCAACACAACCAACAAGCCAGCCAACCAACGGAAATTTGTTGGTTTAAATGACCTAGACAAAAATTCCAACAGGTGACATCAGTCACCTATTAAGTACTAAGACAAATCAGAATTCATGTTTTCACATTTCATTCTCCTCTGGTCAGTCATCAAGAACATGCAAATTCTCAGTTCTTTCGAGTTTGTTTTGTCTTTAAATGCATGCACTTCTGTTCAGTAAATTAATTCTTTTTAGCTGTAGGCTGTGAACTCAAATCACTGGAAAAGTTATTTAATTTCTCAGAAGAATCACCCTTTGTGTAGGTGACCAATATAATATATGTAATTTATAAACACAGGCAATTATATATTTTAGCTTATTATAAAGGTAGCATACCTTGGGCCTGGTTTGGGAACTTTGCCAGCCTTTAGCTCATCAATTATGTCTTCAATATCTTTGGGTGTCAAATCTTCCTGTAAAACAAAAAATTAAATCATTGACAAAACTGAAAGAGTCATCAGTTATGCTAAATGCAGCACTTCAAATTTATCAGATCAGTGTGACCCTAGTGCAGGTAATTTTGATCCTATCCATTAACACATATAGTGGTTTAAAGAATGAGGGAGATTGAAAAGTCTGCTGTCATTTTAATGTTGAGACTTTATGTGTAGTTGCAGATATTATGTTAAAACTTAAGCAATGTTGATACAGGCCAAGGATTTGTGTTTCCAGCTTCCGATATTAGGGAGCTGGATCTCTCCCTACCCACTACACGTATGCCATGACACATGACGTGTGTCATGCAGAATGGTGTTGGCTGCAACAAAACAATTTTGGGTACAGTTTGAGACAACACTTCTTAAATTAGTGCATACTTTCCAACAGACTGCTTTAAAATGCTTTCAAAAGCTTATCACATACGTATTTTAAAATTCCAGATTTACAGGCAGACCACAATCAAAAAAATGCATCACTCCTCTTGTATAACTAAGACAGTAACTGAAATGAAAAATACACTCATACACCTGATACAAATGAAGTGTTCTAGCAAGAAACTAAAAGATGCTGTAAGAAATGAGTTGTTCCTGTCAATAGGAATTGGAAAACTGACCACAACTTCACAATCTGGAACAACCGAAAAATACAGGTAAGCCAGCGAAGAAGCCTAATCTTTTAAAAGAGAATGCAGTACTTACATAGTAATTGTCATTTATTTGTACCATTGGTGCGTTTACACAAGCACCTAAACATTCCACTTCTATCAGCGTGAAGAGCTTATCAGGTGTTGTTTCTCCAACTTTAATACCTAAACCAATAAATTAATTAGACTCAGCAATTGTTATGAACAAGAGTAATGAAGCATAAAATCTAAGTGCTCCAGGGACATTGCATTACTTGTAGTTGGGCCTTAAAAGCATTTGCAAAGTTAAACACTTTTAAATGAGTCCAAAATGTTTCCATTAAACAGAAGTTTCTAATAAACTATTAAGTCAATTTTCAGATATAGTTTTGAGACCTTGTTTACAGGTATGAATCACTGAAAAATAACCATGAAATGACAATTCTAAGAAATACAACAGATCTACTCAAGGAACATTTTTAGTAATCAATACAATAAAATGAAAAAATAGGGACACATAGCTTTTATGTGCTAATATGAAATGCATTAATTTACAGTGTTGAATGTTCCCAAATTAACCAACATCCAAATATTGTTAGCTACAAATTCATAAACAACTTTCAAGTTCATAAACAAAAGATGATTTACCAAACTGTACACATACTTAGCATCCATGGCATGTTACTGTTCTACTGCTAGAGATACAGACCTTCCCCAAGAGGCGAGTTAGTCCAAGTAACATCTCAGGGTCTGATCTCTACAAAATACTCTATGGAAGGAAAAATACTGAAAGGCAGTTTTCCTCCATTTACTAGTAGGAAGGGGTTGCAAATTATGAAAGTTTTAAGTAAGGCCTGTCTCAGTAAAAACTACAGAATCATCCTTACTGCTTTGATTTCTCAAGCTGAGTGTTTCAGTTGAAATTAAGCTAGCTATGCAGTAACAAGACATTTCACCTAAATATGCCTTTTTTCAGACAACAGAGTATATGAAATGACAGATAATAGACAGCTGTTCTGCAGCTCTTATCACTGTTTCTTAGAAAAAGTTAACAAATCATTTCATATCAGGAAGAAGAGTTGTCAGTTGCTGATCTTACCCTCTCTTCTCCCCATAACCACCCAAAGAGGAGGAAAAAACCCCAACCCACACACAAAACCCCTGAGTATTCCTTATGTCCCATGACGCACCATTCTCAATTGACTTTTCCCATGGAGAACTCATAAATTATGTTAACATCACGTTATCATCCAGAGGGACGTTGACAGGATAAAGAGGTGGGCTTGTGTGAACCTTATGAAGTTGAACAAGGCCAGTTTTTTCTTCCACTATATGAAGAATTTTACTTTAGTATCATTAAACAAAGGTAAAAAAAGTACAAGAAGTGTATTACAAAATTGTGTCATACCAAGTTTCTTCTTAATGGCTTCTAAAATGCTGTCAGAGTCTCGCAGCATGCATGGCGTGGTGGTGCAGACCTGAATGTGGTACTTCCCAACAGGTTTGCGATTGTACATGGTGTAGAAGGTTGCTACTTCATAGACTCTCATGGGAGGCATTTCTAAAACTTCAGCAACCTGTGACAGGCAAAAACATGCTATATTGAATTCTCAGAGGGCAGCAGTAAAGGCAATGAGCAAACCATTTCAGTGAAGTCACCTGTCCTGTTTGCAGTTTCAGGTAAGTAAGAGGGTGGGGATGGGTATCAAAGCACAAATGTATTCCAAGTGCCAAGACCAGACACCCGAGTTCTCTGACTGGCATCACCCTGCTTGAGCACAAACTCTGCTAAGCCGTGGATCAGCACAGTGAGGAGCTCGAGTCAGCTGCCCTCCAGCACCTCTTGTCAGACACAAGGGGATGTGAGGCGTCAGCTGGGTTTGAGCTTTCCTTGTCAGCTCCAGCTCACACTGCACTTGGGCTGTGTCAATGAACCAACCCGTAGGAGCCTGCCCACACTAATCCATGGAAGCCTTTTGGTAAGGAATACTTGTAAGCTGGTACTATGCTTATCTAATTCATACAGAGCAGGTTCTGTGCCACACCAGGGCTACATCTGCAGATTCCCGGCACAGCTAATAAGTAGGGAGTAGAGCATGATCTCCATGAAGCCAGTTCTCGTGCAAGTATCCTGATCTCATTATCACGGAACCCTGGCAAACTGCTCAAGTTGAGAACTGTCTCTGGTTTCAACAGAGTAACTGTTTTACGTTCCAGTTTCTCTAGCAGGCAAATAAGAAATCATGGAAAATATTTGTTCACTTAAAAGCCTTAAGATCTTTTTAAACATAGTATCAATCTGAAACTTAAATAAACTAATATACACTGTCATCATTAATGGAACTTTGAGGCTTTATGTTATGCTGTAGAAACTGTAGCTGCCTTTCTTTAAATGTTCATTCACCTCCTTCCATCATTCCTCCAATGCTCGAAATCCTCACCTTAAACTGAATTTAAAACTTTACACTTTAAAACTGATGATATGCCAGATGGTAACACAAAGTGCAACAGATTTATTCATATGAATATAAACCAGATTTTTTTATTTCTTGATATTTGGTTACTGTCATGCAGTCTCTCACTTTGAAGCAGTGTAGTTGTTTGCCTGGTTATTCTGAAACAATATTAATAATGAACCTGACAAGTCTTCTGGGCACTTGCTGTGAGGTATTACTCAACACTCCTGACATCAACTACACTAAAACTGCCGTGCAGATCTAGAGATTAAGTATAATCCAGGTAATGTGTGAAATGCCATTAATCTGGGAGGAAGAAAACTCCACTGACATTACCTTCTTTTTCTTCCCCCACATTCAGCAGTGAACAAAATCAAGTTTCTGTTCCTAATTTTACAATCACTCTGGGAAAAGAGACTATCTGAATAGGTTTTATCTA